TATATATATATATATATATATATATATATATACAAGAGTTCTGCTATATGAATAAAAGAAATAACAGGGCTTATGGAGAAAAATAGGGTTGGGTGCAGATTACTCCCGTCGAAAAAAAAATTTAGTAGTTAGCCTAACACAAAGGATAGCTAGATACAGGTAGTTCTGCTATAACGCGATAGTTGTGTTCTTGTAAAACATCGTGTTATAGAAATTCGTGTAATAGAAATAACAGGGCTTATGGAGAAAATAGGGTTAGGTGCAGATTACTGCAAATCGAAAAAAAATTTCGTAGTTAGCCTAACACAAAGGATAGCACAGTCTAAATAAATGTTACATTCATATCTAATAATGAAATCATACAGTAAATGTAACACTTTACCTTGAAAAAATATGAATATAACTTGATGGGGGAGAAGGTTGATGTTGAGGCTGAGGAGTCATGAAACATCAAGCTTGCCTTCAAGTGTTATAGCCTTTCTTTTACGATCACCACCGGAAATGCGATCACCAGAGTGCTTCCCAGAGATATTCTTCTTTTCCATAGTCACAAAATTGGAGAAACAGTAATCAGAATTCACTGAGGACACTTAAAAACTTCACACGTGTTTCAAACAAAGTGTGGAGTAAACAGAGCGCGCGGGTCTAAAACGCTATGTATTTTGTTTTTCTCTTATTTAAAATTTTACATTTTACATATACTGTACAGGTATACTGTATACATAAATATTACATAAATTATTTCTGCAATTCTTCACAAACAAAACACATAAATCAATTGAACATGTGATGTCGAACGTGAACTGTAAACATTGAGCCAAGCCACAACACTGTACAGTACACTTTAACACTTTAAACGCTACGTATTTAGTTTTTCTCTTTTATTTAAATTTTTACAATTTACATATATATATATATATATATATATATATATATATATATATATATATATATATATATATATATATATATATATATATATATATATATATATATATATATATATATATATATATATATATATATATATATATATATATAAATTGTAATTTACATATTATTCATATTATGCTAGAGCGCCCACAAAACATGAGAAACGTTTGAGTCCCCCAGTAGAGATGTCCGTTCTCTATCCACTCCAGGATGTCTTAGTCCTCCGTTTTCTTTTTGTGTACTCGCTCAGGGACTCAAGTATTTCTGTATATAACACAGGATGATAAGGGAATTTGAATTTATTTGTTTATTTATTTATATATAATATACTGTAATATATTAAATATACTGCAAGTATTTTCTTTAATTTATATACGTGTTTCGCGAAAAAGGGAGGCTACATTTATGGTGATCGTTAAGGACCAAACTCCGAATCCATGACGTGACTTCTGTTCATTATTTATATCCTAAATTTACCACTGTAGGTAGTTTCAAGAATTAATGCAGTCATTTACTGAATATTCTTTGCAAAAAAATAAATTTTAAATGAATTATTTATAAGAGATAAGTATTATGATCAGTAAATATACAGATATGCATTACTGACCACCTCCGAACACAAGGATGGCTAAAAATAGCCACAGGCGGTCACAGTCAAGGTCACTTTCCCTTTCTTGTCACTGGCAAATGGGGGTGGGGGGGGGATGATAATAGCAGCTGTGTTTATTACGGTATGTTAGACTGGTTTATAATACATTTTTATTATTTTAATATACCGGTAATCTTCATTTTAATCCAGCTTCCCAAACGTAAGTTTCAGTATAAAATAATTAGTGGTACTGTAGGACCTTGTGAGTGGTTTACTGTATACATAAATATTACATAAATTATTTCTGCAATTCTTCACAAACAAAACACATAAATCAATTGAATATGTGATGTCGAACGTGAACTGTAAACACCGTGTGTGATGTAAAGAGAGCGCGGGTGTAAAACGCTATGTAATTTGATTTTCTCCTATGTAAAATTTTACAATTTACTTATAATATATAGGTATACTGTATACATAAATATTACATACATTATTTCTGCAATTGTTCACAAACAAAACACATAACTCAATTGAACATGTGATGTCGAACGTGAACTGAAGCCACAACAACCGTTCGAGTGGAATCTCGTTAGAGCAAACGAGTTCGCGTTTTACAAATATCATTCCTCAATTCATAAATCGCGTTCAAGCAAATTCGCGTTGTCAAAACACGCGTTATAGCAGAACTCACTGTAGTCGCATCCCATGATTGCTTGATGTAACTCTTCTCCTTCACAAGCATCCATGAGCAGTTGGTACTTGTACTTCTCTGGCACGGCCGCATTTGACATGTATTGACGGAAGGCATGCATAAAGGTCCAAAACTCCGCCCGCCCTTGTCCTTTAAACTTGGGAAGGGTGGCTTGCGGCATGCACATCGTAGCCACTAGCTCTCTTATTTCTTCACCCTTCTCTGATTCTCCCTGTGGATGCATAATTGTGACTTGAGGCACTTTGTTTGCAAGCATTGGCGGTAAAGACGATGCCATTTTCTCGACATTGACCGATGCCTGTTGCTGGGTTTCTTCCCGTACTATTGGCTTCTCATAATTGCTGAAGTTCTCTGTCGAAGGCTGTGAGCTGTCACTTCTTCGTGATAGTGCTGATGTCTCTTGACCCGCCACCATTCCAGTGTGCATCGTTTTCATCCACCCTGCCTTAAGCTCTCGCAGGGCTCGGTTTACTTCATCCGACGCTGCCTCAGCTCTGGCCACTGCTTGTTGATAATACAATTCCCTACTGTGACCTTCCCGTGGATCTCCTGGTATTGCAAGCTCATTTCCTTTTTCACCACTCTCTGATTCTACCTCGGCGGGCGGATCCATTGTCATTGTCGTTATAGGAATATTCGTAGTAGAATCCATTCGTTATAGCATACCCCACTGTATATACAGTATGTATACAGTAATACCCCGCTTTACGCGGGGTTTTTTTACGCGTTTCTACATTTACCCGGTACCCTGCCAGAACCGGAATTCCCACTTACGCGGTGCATCTACTCATATACGCGGGTGAAGTATAATTTTTTTATTAAGCTTATAAAATTCATACAAATTACCCAGCCAGAATATAATTTACATTGCTGGAATTCTTGCAATTTGATGATCATTTTGAATATAAGCATCATAGATTTTGCATTAGACATACAAATTTTAGATCTAATGCAAGTATTTTGTTTACTCAGAGCAAATATGTTATCTTTTGTGCAAAATATATGACGTGTATATTCAAAATATTCCTGGTCTTGCAAGGAATCCAGCAATGTCAATTATATTATCCTAACTTTAGTCTGAGGTTAGATGTAGGATAGATGATTAGTGAGTCCCATATTTTTTACCTGACTTAACTTGACTAGTCACGTCGCCCTTTCTCTTAAGCTCCTCTGCGTGTGTGGTGGTGTTGGTGTGCGGATTAGTGGATGTCATGATTATGACCTGACCTCATGTCCAGTAAGGGCACCCTGTGTACTTAACGTTTCCCTCTTCCCTCTGTGATTTTATCAAGATTTATCTTATCCACATTTTCATTGTGGATTTACATGATATATATATATATATATATATATATATATATATATATATATATATATATATATATATATATATATATATATATATATATATATATATATATATATATATATATATATATATATATATTACACAATTTGTATACTAATTTACTTTCTTTTGCTTCAAGATATGTGTTATACGTGATGACAAAAAGGTTGGTAGTTTCCCAATCAGTTGGGATGGTCTTTGTGTAGCAGCCTTAAAAGATGGTGGCAATGAAGTGGCTGTAGGAGGTGGTGACAACCTTATCCATGTGTACACGCTTAGTGGCAACACTTTAACAGAGGTGTGTACTAATCTTTGATATGACTACATTTAGATTTTGAATTATAAGTAGAACATTTCTTTTATCATTCATGGCATTGTCATACTGGACCTATTAAAAGGCTTTTCCTTTTAATCAGAATCCTTTGTATAAATTCTACTTGCAGTTTTTCAAAATGGTATATTTTTTCTTCTAGGCATGTTTTAATTCATATTTGATACAATACATTTATAAACACATTGATGGAAACTTCAAATTATTCCCTAAAGTTAGGAATAAGCTTGAAATGGTTTTCAGAAAACTACCTTGGAGCATCTAGGACCAGTTACTGATTTGAGCTACTCTCCAGACAATGGTTACCTTGTTGCCTGTGATGCCAATCGAAAGGTAGAGTAATATTCCCCTTCTATAGATAATTAGGCAAAGCCAGCTAATTTTCTGTCCATATCCATTTTTGTGTCCCCACCAAACAATATTGAACCCATATAGTGTAACCCTGTCTGTCCACATCAAGTATTTCTGTGCAACATATTTTAGTGATAGGCTATGGAGATTAAAGTGAAATTAGCAAAGTTTCTTCATATCATGAATATCAACTTTGTGTTAGTCATAAGTTTCTATCATTAGAGGTAGTAACCCAGTTGAATTTACAAGTTTTAGTAGGGGTGTATGTGGGAGTTTGTTGAGAATATATTCATAACTATTTTTGTTCATTGGCATATATTTATATCTATGGCATCCTTACTAAAAGCCAGATTTTTGGGGTTTATTTTTATATGGTAAAGTTAGTGAACAAATTTACTTTTGCTCCTATTGTGTAGGAGAAATGAGTGGTGGATTTCAAGTTTTAATCCAATTTTCAGGTGTTGGTTTATACTCTGCCTTCATATGAAAAATTCAACAAGATAGAGTGGGGATTCCATAATGCAAGAATCAACTGTGTGGCCTGGAGCCCCGACAGTCGTATGGTAGCCAGTGGTTCCCTTGACACAATGATCATCATTTGGAGCTTAGCCCAACCCAACAAACATATCATCATAAAGAGTAAGGGATTTCCTCTTTCTTTAGCAAGTTACTTTAAGAAATCTTCACATAATCCTTGTTCCACTAAAAAGCTCATCATCTATTTTGTAGCATTTCATAAATAGTGGGTTCTCGTACCCTCCTGGTAGGATGCTAGTCTGCTAAAGGGTTGTTGGCAGGCATGTTTGATGGTGTATTATTTACATGCTGGGTTTACAAGGACTGAACCCAGTCCTCATCTCTGGTTGGGAGTCAAACCCATGGCCATTTGCCTGACAGGTAAGCGCTCTACCAACTGAGCAATTATCCTTCGTTTGTACAAAGCTGCATTGTAAGTGGCCAAGGATAGTTTCCTTCCAAAATTTTAAACCCCAAGTTGAGTTGGTGCATCATAACATGTGTGTTTGTTTTCTAGCTGTAGTCTGGACAAAGTGCTGCCTGCAGTTATGTACAGTAGTTGTATTAAGTGTCCTTTTACAGTAGAACCTCGATAAATCGGACTAATTGGTGCAGACCCCACTCCGGAAAAATGCAAAAGTTGGAAAAAGGTTAACATGTGGGGATGGAGATAACACTGCTTGTCTGAACTGTTCAAAGAATATCAGTTGATGTTATGTTATTACTGCACTTCAACAACTAGTCGTTAAGTGTATAACAAAGTTATTAAAAGAATATTACATCAACAATATAAAAAAATATATGAAACAGAACTTTCTGGGTTGAAAATCAGACATAAAAGTCTGGTTGTGAACAACTATTGTCACTGAGATGATTGATAGAGTCCAGGAAAAAAGTCACAAGAAAAAAGTTCACAGAAAAAACCTAACCTAACCTAGCCATATAAATTTTGTTGTCAATGTGTACAAGTCATGTATTGTCAGGTAATAAGTGACTTAATATATATATTTTTTTTTATTACTTTAACTGTTAATGATATTTAAATGAAATGTGACATATTCCCAGCCAATTTTTTTTTTCTGTTAATTTATTTCCAATCACCTCTTGTTATTTACAGTAAAGTGTTATATGTCAGCAATCACAGAATTTGTCTTATGAATAAAGAGAAAACTGTATACTGTACAGTATTATAAAGATAAAAATAAGAACAAATAAGTGTAGGAGTATATTGTATGTGGAAGACGAGTGTTTATCTGAGAGCGGCTGGCAGAGGTTAATTTAACACTTCTTTATGAAATTCCATCATAATTCTCTTATAATTTAGGATCATTTGGGGCCAGGTTGATAAAATATTATCCTAAAAAAATCTGCTTTCCTGAAAAAAGAATCCCACACTGAACACCATGAGTCATTTGTTTACAAAGGGCAAACAGCTGATTGGCTTTCCACAATGTCTGTCTTCAACACTTAGTAAATTAGTACAGAACAGTTGTGTATTTATCATCGCTTAATAAATAATATTGCAATATATTTATCACCATTTAATAAATTCTCCAGTGGTCCCTCGGTTAACGAACACAATCCGTTCCAGCAGGTTGTTCGTTAACCGAAACCATTGTTTCAATGGGTTTTTGGGTAATTGGTTCCAGCTCACCGAAAATTGCCTAAATTCAACAAAAATGGTAGAAAAGTTCACTTACTTTGAGGTGTGTATGTAGAAGGCTCCTGGATGATGATGATGATGGGAATTAGAATGGGGGTGGAGGAGAAGGAAGAAGAGAAGGCATTGGGGTGGAAGAGAAGTCACCCCATGGCACCATTTCACCCAAAAATTTTAGTTCTCTTGGTGTATTTCAAGATTATTTTCTTTAAATCAACACTGCACTGCATTATATATTGTCAATATGTAAAATATATTTCAAAATGACCAATAATTTGCTTGGAAACACAGAAAAAAAAGCATTTAGTTGAAGAGAGTCTCAAGCAAGATGTTACCTCCAGTGAAAACAGAGAGAGACTAACGCCTGTTTGCTGTGTTAAGAGGCTGGATGCCGCGCATTAAACTAGTCACTTTACCTTCAATTATGTTCAATAATTGTTAAAATGAGTAAAAAATTGAATATTAAACTTTTAAAATTATTGAATAGTATAAACTTATTGATATTTACTAAAATAGTAAGGAATTTAAGCCCTAGAACCGATTAATGTATTGGCGGACTGATACTAAAGCTGGTTGACCGGCCAGTGCAAGCGAAAACATGTTGAGGTCGGTTCGTAAGAAATTCGTTAACTGAATTTTTGTTCGTTACCCGAATTTAAGAATCTTATGGGAGGGAGTTCGTTAACCGAAATTTCGTTAACCGAGGGACCACTGTATTGTGTATTCTTCATCACTTAAGTACCATATTTTTCGGCTTGGAAGACGCTGCACCGTAGAAGACGCACCCTGATTTTGAAAATGAAATTCTAAAAAGAAAAATAATAATTATGCATTTTAGCCCACCTGGGCACAGGTCACTGACCCACATTCGGGCCTAGGGGGCGAAAATGTAATAATAATAATAATAATAATAAAGAAATACAAAAATGAAAAAAAATATCAAGAGTGAGAAACAATATACCTGTATGTATGTTGTGTTGTCAAAGTAAGAGAAACAATTGAGACCCTGATGAAAGTCAGATCATCAACCTGGGACTTGGTCACATAGCAGCAGGGTCTACCATTATGCTTCCAATGTCTTCCCAGACGGTAGTACCTCCTTGTTTGGTACATTAGCTGCCTACTACCTACACCAGTGAAACCGTTGCTTGATATATAGCCCTTTTGGCACAAGTATACACACCTCTTTGAATATCATCACTTAGAACTGCTTATCAGTCGTCATTTTCATCAATTTAAAAAACATCTGTATAAGAAGGTGAAGTCTTTTATACAGCACTCATTTTATACACCGGGCTGGTCACCTCCACATCTTAGGGGATGTAGTGTTTACATTCTTTCTCTTGTTTTTGTCGGTATGACAACGACGGGAAATATTTTCCACCAGTAGAAAGTAAGCAAATGTAAACATGTATATCAACGTCTATATAAAACAAAAAATCTTTATTTAAAAACAAAATAAAAGTAAAAAACAACTCGTTTTTTGCAATACCAGTGACTGATTGGTTCTACATAATTATAAAACTGAAGAAAATAAGTCCTCCATTGTAACTGTATTAAAATTAATGTAGAAAAATTAATATGGTTGTTTTAAGTAATGTTATTTAATGTTAATAACTGGAACAATGGAAATAGCTGACAATTAAGGGTAAAAAAAAGGGAGATCACGTATGTAAGTGAGCACATGTGTAAACATATCGTTACTCTTCATAAGAATATGAAAGCAACACTTATTTACTGTTCATATATATTTTAATTAATGTTTCTGAATTTCTTTTTGATTGAATTATTGTTTATGTGTGCAAATTGAACAATACAATTCATTAATAATACGAAGAATATTAAAACACGTGAGAAGACAAGACGTCATTGTTTTTGTTGTTTACAAAACCAGTGACTGATTGGTTCTACATATAAAACTGAAGAAAATAAGACCCCGGTTGTAGCTGTAGTAAAATTAGTATGGTTGTTTTAAGTAATGTTATTTAATGTTAATAAATGGAACAATGAAAATAGCTAACAATTAAGGGTAAAAAAAAGAGAGATCACGCATGTAAGTGAGCACATGTGTAAACATATCATCATTACTCTACATAAGAATATGAAAGCAACACTTATTTACTGTTCATATATATTTTAATTAATGTTTCTGAATTAAAAAAAAATATCTACACACCAGTGGTAGTAAAGTTAGGACAGCCAATGTTGTTGTGTGTGTGTTTTGACTTGGATGACGAAGTTGTATTTAAATTTGGAAGATTTTAATTTTGTGGGGTTTTTACAGTCTAAATGGGTATCCAAATATGAGAGCCTACTGTAAATAGGTGTCCAAATATGAGAGCCTACTGTAAATAGGTGTCCAAATATGAGAGCCTACTGTAAATAGGTGTCCAAATATGAGAGCCTACTGTAAATAGGTGTCCAAATATGAGAGCCTACTGTAAATAGGTGTCCAAATATGAGAGCCTACTGTAAATAGGTGTCCAAATATGAGAGCCTACTGTAAATAGGTGTCCAAATATGAGAGCCTACTGTAAATAGGTGTCCAAATATGAGAGCCTACATATAAAGAAACAAACATTCCTGCATTTGAGACCAGCAGACAACCTTTAGCAATTCCTCAATAGATGGCGGTGCCACACCACTGCCATTAGTAAACAAACCACACAGCAGCAAGGGTTTTTTTTTTTTCGCAATATATCAACAATATTAGTTAAATCAACAGTTTTATAGTACTGTATAGAGAATACTTGTAATTGTTAAGTACTGTAATGAGGTAACAGTCTTTGTAAGAGGCTGATTTAAAAAACCTCTGCTACAACTCATCAACTAGTGTCCTGGAAGATGCATGGTAATTTTCGAGGTATATTTTTGTCATAAAAAGTGCGTCTTTTAAGCCCAAAAATACGGTAAATATATATATATGTATATATGCATATACAGTACAAGAAGTCCTCGCGGTTCCGTTCTGAAAACCTTACTTAACGATACTTGGAGTCCAACTTTCTCATATGAAATAGATAAAAATCTGAGATTCGTTCCCAGTCCTTTAACTTGCCCAATAAAATACATATACATGATTCAAAATAATTTTTTATGGAAAATAGTATACAGGGTATATTATACATCAAAAAGATAAATAAACTAAATCATTTTGTATTGTACTTACTGATGGGAGGTGGAAGCGAGAATGTGTAATTGGGTAGTGGAAAGAGGTGGTGAGTTACTGAAACCCGGAGGGTGGCTCCTCCCGCTCTGACTGGGTGAGAGAGGAGGAAGGTGGTGAGTTACTGTAACCTGGAGGGTGGCTCCTCCCGCTCTGACTGGGTGAGAGAGGGTGATGCCCCGTACAAAGTAGTCTGTGATGACGTTATACCGAATCGGTAGGGACGTTGTCTGAATCATGGGTATCTAAAGAGTAGCGACGTTATAACAAAACAATGTTGTCGGGGTCAACGTTAAACGAGGACTTACTGTACCCTGGTTTATTCATTAATCATTTGTCTAACGGCACAAGTACCCAAATTTAGCCATCATATAACACTCAAAGGTAGTAAATAACGTTGTTAGGAAGGTATCTTCATATGAAATATTATACAGTGTGTTATAGTGACCCCTGTTGTAAGCTAGTCTGCTGAAAGCTCTCACACAAATACATATTGAGTAAACAACCTTTTGATACAGCTAATCTTTTTATTTTCAAGTTATATTACAAATTACTTACAGTATTGTATTTTTTCTCTATTACTGAGGATGTTTAATTAATCATGATGAACCATAAACCATAAGAGGCCAATCATATGAGAATATAATATAGTGGTCCCTCGGTTAACGAACACAATTCGTTCTAGAAGGTTGCTCGTTAACCGAAAAATTCATTAACCGAAACCATTGTTTCAATGGGTTTTTGGGTAATTGGTTCCAGTTCACCGAAAATTGCCTAAAGTCAACAAAAAAGGTAGTAAAGTACACTTACTTTGAGGTGTGTATGTAGAAGGCTCCTGGATGATGATGATGATGATGATGATGGGAATTAGAATGGGGGTGGAGGAGAAGGAAGAAGAGAAGGCATTGGGGTGGAAGAGAAGTCACCCCATGGCACCATTTCACCCATAAAATTTTAGTTCTCTTGGTGTATTTCAAGATTATTTTCTTTAAATCAACACTGCATTACATTATATATTGTCAATATGTAAAATATATTTCAAAATGACCAATAATTTGCTTGGAAACACAGAAAAAAAGCGTTTAGTTGAAGAGAGTCTCAAGCTAGATGTTACCTCCACTGAAAACAGAGAGAGACTAACTCCTGTCTGGTGTGTT